TATTTAATTCATGCTTATAAAATTGATCTGTGGTAAACTGTAATAATGAATTTCAGCTTTTGAGGCTCAAACTCCACCTATCCCCCTCACTTCTAAGCTAAAAGTGAGGACAGAGGAGAAGATTCGATGCCTATTGCTGACACTAGTGACATGATCATTCTACCTCTGAAGTAGATAAAGTAATTTTCTAGCCAGCCACTTCGCAGATACTCCAAGATCAATTTTTCAACCAGAAAGCTGAGAGGGAATAGGAAAAAAAAAGTGTTGTGAGAACAATATGGGTTTGAAGAGTGAACTTGAGCTCTTCGTGCATTCACATCTCTTCATTGAGTATCAGGTGTGTTCGTCTGCTTGGGCTGCCATAACAGCACACCAGAGACTGGGCGGTTTAAACAACGGGGATTTATTTTCCTACAGCCTGGAGTCTGGAAGTCCGAGATTAAGGTACCAGCAAGATTGGTTTGTAGTGAGGCCTCTTTTCCTGGCTTACAGATGGCCACTTTCTTGTGTCTTCAGATGGCCTTTCCTGGGATCCCTTCCTCTTCTTATAAGTTTACCAGTCCTATCAGTTCAGGGCCCCACCCATATGACCTCATTTAACCTTAATCCTCTCCTTAAAGGGCCTCTCTCCAAACAGAGTCACATTGGGAGTTAGGGCTTCAACATATAAATTTTGAGGGGACATAATTCGGTCTGTAACACCACCTGTGTGCCTGCCACTGTTGTAAGTGCTTGGGACACATTAGTGAACAAAACAAAGATTCTTCCCTTGCAGGGCTTGTGTTCTAGAGGGAGGTGGCAAACAGTAAAGAATAATTTTAATATGTAAATAAATTATATACTCTGTTAGAAGGCAATAGCATTATGGAGAAAAGCAAAAGAGCAGGTGAAGGGGAATAGGCTTCGGGGTGGATGACAGATCAGATAGGCCCTCTTGAGTAGATGACATTGAGCAAAGCCTTGAAGGGTATGAGGGAATTAGCAGTGCAGATATCTGCCCTTGTTAAGTCTGTTGAGTCTTGTTAAGTCAGTTGAGAACAACTGGCATTATTGAGAAGCTTCGGAAGACATGATTTGGAGTCAGATAATCTTGATTCAAGTTCTTACTGTGTGATTTTGGGGAAGTCAGCCTACGCACTAAAATACATAAGCAATGCTATGGGTGTAATGAATTCCAGATGCCAGGATATTTCACAGCTCATCATTCCTGTTTTATATGAAAACTGGGAAAACAAAATGCTTCAATGCTAAATTTCGACTCCTTTAGGAATCACTGTCTGATTGCCAAACTTGTCAGGTATGGATACTCTCTCTCCCTCCAGCCCCAGAAGCATTTAATTGTTCCCTTTGCTTTGGTGTGGAAGATCAGGAGAGATCTCATTAATTATGTTGATAAATACGTCAATCAGAGGCATTCCAGAGGGCTCTTCAATTGAATCTAGGGATTAGTTTTTGCTTTGGGTGAGGCAAAGTTATTGATGGAATCCAGCAGCACTTCACTAATGTAAAATATCAAGTAATAAGTATTTGCCAGCTCTGGTGGTCTGGTGGTTAAGATTCAGCACTCTCACTGCCGCGGCCTGGGTTCGTTTTCTGGTCAGGGAACCACACTACACATCTGTCGCTTGTCATACTGAGGTGGCTGTGTTGCTGCTGTAATGAACGCTATGCCACCAGTATTTCAAAAACCAGCAGGGTCACCCGTGGTGGACAGGTTTCGGTAGAGCTTCCAGACTAAGACAGACTAGGAAGAAGGACCTAGCCACCACCTTCTGAAAAAAGTTGGAAATGAAAACCCTATGAATAACAGCGAAGCATTATCTGATATGGCACCAGAAGGTGAGAGGATAGCCAAAGAAAAGATTGGGCAGGGTTCAGCTCTGCTGTACACAGAGTCGCTAGGTGTCAGAGACTTGACGTCACTAGCGACAACAAATAGCTATTTAAATAGCATGCCTAGAACTGCACTTTACTCAGTACCTAAGAAAATAATTCTGTCAAATCTTCATTAATCAAGGTAATAAAAAATAAAAATGATTAACATGCAGGAAATCTATTAACTCTTTCCCCAGAAAGGGAAAGGTAGCAGAAGACGCACCGTGGCCAAATGGAAGAAGTAATTCTGAAAGCAGCAGTAAGGAAGGTCAAGAAGCCCTAACTAAAGGTCAGATGGATTAACCTGGAAGCAGCTAGAGCAGGGAAAGAGGGAAAAGAGAAATTTAGGCTATTTATGAATATTCATTTTAACTATAAAGTAGATAATAAAGATATCTTTTCCTCTTTTTTTCAAGGAAAACGTAAATGGGCAGAAAATAATTCTTTAGATACCCTTATTGTATAAATGAAGAGTCTCTTCTGTGTCAGACCCTGGGCTGAGCTCTGGGGGAATAGCAGCAGGTAACCCAGTCCCTGATTTTCCAGGAGATTGCAGTCTGATTAGCAAGAGATAACCATAAACCAACACAACCCAGTGTGGCAAAGCCATGGTAGCATATGCACAGAGAACTCTGGGAGCCCAGTAGGAAGCACCTAGCCCAGGGCAGAGGGTGAGTTTGACAAGCAGGAAAGGTTTCCATGAAGCGACCAAAGCCTGACTGCATGTTATAGGAAGAGGTGCAGTTACCTCTGCCTCCACATTGTCATTCAACAGCCGTTAATTAAGCAATCTTGGCATGTTAGACAGACATTTGTGCTAAGCTCCAAGGATGAGCAAGATGTATTCCAGCGTTCAAGAAGTGGGACTCTGGTAAAGGGAAACAGATATAGACAAGGTCACTAAAATGTGACATTAGGTACCGAGGGGAAGCTCCATGAAGGATGCAGTAGCACTACAAGTCTGCTTGGGGAGTAGTGGTGTCAGGAAAAGTGTCCAGTGTCTGGGAAGATGAGTAGGTGCAGCGTGTAGAGTGGAGAATCAGACCATTGAAGATGAATGAAACATCTTGACTAAAGGAAAGCGAGCAGGCAGGGTTAATTTGTAGCACTACAGTTAGTTCTGTTTGGCTCCAGTGGTTGGTGTGTGAGGAAGGGGAGAGAGCTTAAGATGGAGGGCGGAAACAAAGCAGGCAAAGCTTTGTATGCCCTGGAAAGGCATTTGGATTTATTCCCCTGACATATGGATATTTGTGAGGGAGAAATAGGAAATTCAGGGACTAAAGTGGGAAAGTGGAAATTTACATTTGGAATCATCCTGGCTTCTGTTTGGAGGGTAGACCAGGGTGGGAAGGGACAGAGGGTAGCAGCCACCAGTTAGGAGTTTCAGCTTTATCTTGGGCACCAAAAGATGAAGGCCTGAGTCAAGACTGTGTAAGTGAGGGGAAACGAGAGAAGTGTGAGAGGAAAAATAATTTATAAGACTTGGTAGCTTATTTTTTTTTAAGATTTTATTTTTTCCTTTTTCTCCCCAAAGCTCCCCAGTACATAGTTGTATATTCTAGTTGTGGGTCATTCTAGTTGTGGCATGTGGGATGCTTCCTCATCATGGTTTGATGAGCAGTGCCATGTCTGCGCCCAGGATTTGAACCAACGAAACACTGGGCCGCCTGCAGCGGAATGTGCAAATTTAACCACTCGGCCACAGGGCCAGCCCTAAGACTTGGTAGCTTATTGTATGATAAGGGTCTCTCAGAGGAAAGGGGCCAGCATGACTCCCTGTCTCCCAGTTGGTGCAATTTAGTGTATTAGCCAAGCTGTTCCATGTGGCATGAATTCTTCAGCAAAAGTGAGAATTTAACAAACTTTGAGACCTTATATGTATAGTGAAATGTGCTTCACTAGAGTATAAATTGTTTAATGAATTTACATGCCTTGAGTGTGATATCTGATTTCTTGATTGTTTTATTCTGTTTCAGTGTAATTTTGTAGAGATTGATAAAGTAATGCTTTAACCTACGTTGATTTGATGTATAAAAATCAAAGATGTATGTAAACCTTTGAGTTAAAAAAATCACTGAAAAATGACCAGTCTTAGAGCAGTATGCATATTAATACAATATTAGATTACTAAAGCTACAACTTTTATAGTTTTTACCTTCTCTTTCAAAAGAAAACTAGCACTAGTGTCATAGAAACATAAGCTAAGGTATCACTTTTACCTGGGGGAAAAAAAAGTATAACTGGTTTCCTTCTATGGCTTAATTCAACTAATTTCACTAGTAGTGGTGGCTTTTTGGATTATTAATTTATTCTGAAACAGAAGGCTAGCCTTTATTTCATGTATTATAGTTGTTCGAAGGCTGAGGTTTACAGATGGAGTAAATTTACATGGACTAACTCTATAGAGAAGGTTTTATGATAGTGTTTCATCGACAATGCTTAGTTGACAAAGTAATTGCTATTTCAGGTCCTTTTGGCCTGGAGAGTTTTTGTTCTGAATCTGTGCTTTAAATGCATAACAGAAGAAAGGACTCTTTAACGGTACTTGCTTTGGAATTAGAATGTGATTACTTTAGAGCACTATGGATAGTTTTATTGCCTTAAACTATTTTTAACTGCCATTCTTTTTTAATGGTCTCTATAACTACATGCTGTGAGAAGAAAAGCTAGTAGGGAGTTCACTTTGGTTGAGAGTTAGGTGAGGACCTGTGGTGAATTGCAGGAAAAGATCTTGTTTTTTGACCTGATGGTCATTAGTTCTTTCTTTGCCTTGGCTAAAGCTTGACACAGGGGCGTTTCCCACATAACATTTTTAGCATAATTGGACCAACTGGCAGTGTAAGGCCATCAGAACTTTGATTCTATGAAGCTGAACGATTTTTGAGAGAGGACTGGTGGAGTCACTGTGAGGGTGACCATACCTCACACATAGACACATTTGATGATGTATCTTTTTTATATTCCTTCAAACATGTTAGAGGCGTAGGAGCTGTTTCTGACATACAGAGAAGTCTGAAATCTTTGTAACCTGCGAGACTGGAAAGAATAACAGTACCCATTCTCTGAGAGCATTGCCATTTCTCAGGAGTTTGCCCTAGAAGGAGGTCAAGATGAAGCGACCTTACCTGGCCGTACATGCTCTGGTATGCCTCTGCAATCATCAGCCTTTGTGTGTTACAGCGTTGAGTTAGAATGTCGATGAGCATGTCTTTGTCACATCCTGGAAACGAATAATGTTTGAAGGTTAGTGAAGTTGCTGCTCTATAGTGAGGAAGAACAGATTATCTAAGGATCAAAACCAAAGTGCAAGCATTATTCCTGATGGTACTTAAGAGCAGTGAGCAGTTTTAACTAAAAGTGGAAATCGCAAAGCACCACATGATGAAGCCTAGGTTCTTCCTATCACACATTTTGGTGCTGTTACTACAGATTTTCCTTTAAAAAAATTCAATGAAAAATACAGAGGAGTAAAGAATATGGTGTTTTTTCAACCATCTCTCCTGCCCCACCAAGAAAAGTCTTCCCTGACCTTCAAGCTGATTAGTGTTTAAATGGGCACAATTCCTTTCTCATTTTACAGTTGAGAGATATGATTTATAATGAACATACATTAAGACAAAAACAACTCCTGTAGTTCAGAATCTCCAGAAGAAGGAAGAGTAATGGAGAAGAAAATTATGAAAGTACAAGGGACGTGCACCCTTCTGAGGGATGGTGTGAACCTCTCGTGGTTTGCATGGAACATGGTTTCTCTCTCCCATAATTGAGGCTCTGTTTCTGGGCTATGAGGGCTCCATTTCCTCGTATACCAGCTCATTGAACTGATACAGCATCTGTATACACAACTAGTTTAGATAAGTTTAGCTGTAATTATAGACAGAGTGACCAAGAAGGCCTTAACATTCCCCTCAGCTTGACTAAAATTTAGACAGGTTTTTTTCCTGACTGTAGGTCCTTGACTCCCTTTTCTGAAAGCCTTTACTTTGGAAAACTTGCAATTGTAAATTCTTTCCTTACCCTTTTGTTATGAAATCTCCTCCCAACCACTTGCCAGTTTTACAACACAGAAATTTCTTTCTCAAGGAATTGGGAGTCATCCCTTTGAAATATAATCATCAGGAAAGATGGAGCCCCTATCTCCTATTCTCTGTGGGAGGGTAGGAACCAAAGTTCCATATGTGTTAATTAGCAAACACAGATGACCTAATCACATTGACCAATGCCCTCAGCCCCTGGTAATCTGCAGTACTTTTCCATTAGCTCAACCTAGTGCTTAAAAACTCTCTTGTCTTTTGTTTCAGAGAAATTGAGTTCAGTCTCTCTCCTCTATCGTGGTAGTCTTGATCCCTATTGCAATAGTCTTGAATAAAGTCTCCCTAGCCTGTTTAATTCTGTGTGGTACAATTTTTCTTTGACTAAAGGACGTATTTAATGGAGATAAGGAGAAAAATAAATGGAAAGCCTAGGATATTAATCAGATCATCTTTTTGGAACTTAAAGCCACGCTGGATGGCTGTAGGATCATAGGAAAACTATGAGTCAGCTGCTGAAATATCCAGTGAATGAAGGCAGATGACTAGGATTTACGTAGATGGCTGTGTCATTGAGGAACAGAAGGAAGAGCAAGGTGTTTCATACAGGTACAAGAAATGATCTGAAAGCTGGAAAATGAAAGTAGGGAGGTATAGAATCAGCTTCAAAGACTGAAATTTATGGTTTGTGAGAAAACACGGCAGCCTCCAGTAGAGGCATAGAGCAACGTGGTGTCCTGGGACTAGCCCAGTTAAAGCTGGGGGCTCAAGGGATATTAAGTAGTTCGAGAGGAGTCTGTTACCTGCTTAATGGGCATTCCAAAATGAGCATATTTTTAATAATAGATTTTTCAGTTATATCCATTGTTATTTTTACTATCATCACATTTACTTAATTTTTATAGTCTTCTGTTTTTTGTTGTTTTTCTGTTGAAATTATTCACAACATACTTCTCTGAATTACTCTTTACTTTTCAAAGTGTTCATAGCAATTCTTGCTCATTTATCCTGCCAGAGATATTTTGGAATAATTTTATATGGATCTCAAAAATGTTGTCAAAATAACTGTAAACTTAGGAATCAATTTAGAAAAGTTGTCTTTCTGTCAAGTTTCCTTTCTGTGACTAACATCATGTATCTGCTGAATTATTTAAGTGTTGGTTTTTCTCCTACAAGACTTAGCAAAGATTTGTAGAGTTTTGGCAAATGATGAGCAACTTTATTTTGTTAAAATTATTCATATTTGCATTTCTATTGATATTTCAAGTTATATTTTTCTTTTGTTTTTTAACACACAATTGCTTAATTAAATAAATAATATTAAATTTTGTGTTTACTTTATATCCAGAAAAATTGTTGAACTCTCATAATTTGTAGTAACTTTTTAGTTGATTACTTTAGATTTTGAGATATACAATGATATCCTCTTCAAATCGGAATTTTGGTTTCTTTTGTAGAATCATTGTATGTTTTTCTCTTTCTTGTCTTATTGCATTAGGACAGAAATTTCTAGATAATTCTTATTTTCTAATTTAACAGAAAAGGCTAGTATGATGAACCATACCATTTTATAGGCTTTTACAATGTACAGTTGATTCTTGTTATTTGTCATAGTTTTCTACAAAGTCACCATGAAGACTGAATTAGTAAATCCTGAACTATTGCTCCTGGGGGAAACATAAGGTTAAGTTTCTACGACCTTCTGGTTACAGCATTTTTGTCAACAGAAATGCCGTTTACATTATATGTATTTGTTTTCCAATGTTCTTGTAAAACAAACCAGTCTCATTAGCATTGAAAACCTTCTCTTCCGCCTATGCTTTTCCTGTATAAAACTTAGGGAGTATTTTTTAAGAATATTTTAAGGAATTATTCTTCTCCAGCCTCTTGATCTGTAGAACTTTAACCTTAAAGTTTAACAATTTTTATGCTCTATCACCTTTTGAAACATGCAAGCCAGACAGCACTACTCTCAAAAGAAAGCTGACCACTACACTTTTTAAATTATTGTTATCAATTATCATCTCACGAACTCACAAATTTAGCTGCTTTTCCATAGCTTCATAACAGAGCATGGATGTTACTCTAGCATTTTCTAGACAGCCTCATGCACAGAACAATGAATTTTCTCTTTATTTTTCATCTTTTTCAGGATGTCCCATATTGCTGATTCATTTACATTAAGGTCATGGACAACAGCGTCGGAACTGATGCCTGAATGAAGCTAATCTAATGCACATATTTTCTCCGTAATACTTCTTGTGTTTGGAAACACTAGACAGTACTTCAGCACTATGCTCGGAGCCATTTTAAAGAGCCAAATCACCAACAAAAAACATAAAATATCAAAAAGTGTAGCACTAGATAGACCATAAAAAGGACACTTGCTTACAGTGTGAGAGCTGAAACAAGAAGGCAGAGCATCACCTTGTTGTTCAGTGTCAGCTGAGAATAGGCAGTCTGGTGACTCAAATTTTTCACCTCTTTGCACATGTCTGTTAGTGACCATGAAAGCACTACAGGTATTGATTTTGGAGTTATAAATAAATTTAAGCAAGTAGATAAATTGGCAAATATGGAATCCGTGAATAATGAGCATTGACTGTGTGGTCACATAGGAAACAGTGGCCTACTAGGCAAGAAAATAATTATTACTAAAATTTCAAATTATATTTAAATAGCACTAAGTGGTCTACAAAAAAAACTAACTTTAAGTATAAAGATACAGATAGATTAAAAATAATGGAATGGAGAAAGATATGCTATGCTAACATAATGAAAAGAAAGCTGGAGTAATTATATAATTTTAACATGGAAGACTTTGGAGCAAGGAAAATTATCATGGATAAAAAGAGCCATTACATAATGAAAAAGGGGCCTGTTCTTCAAGAATACATAACAAATCTTATGTATGTACCCAACAAAAGAGCATCAAAATACGTGAGGCAAAAACTGATAGAATTGCTAGGAGAAAGATGAATCCACTATGGTATCTAGAGACTTTAACACCTCTCTATCAGAAATGGACAGATCCAGCAGGCAGAAAATCTGTGAGGAGGTGATTGAACTCAACATCATCAATCGACTGCATATAATTGATATCTATAGAGTACTTCATCCAAGAACAGCAGATTACACGTTCTTCTCAGGCTCATGTAGCACTAAGACAACATTCTGGGGGTCATAAAACACACCATAACCAGTTTAAAATAGAAACCGTACAAAATATGCTCTCAGACCACAAAGGAATTAAGATAGAAATCAATAATAGAAAGATAGTTAGAAAGCCTCAAAATACTTGGAGATGAAACAACACACTTGTAAATAACACATAAGTCAAAGAAGGAGTCTCAAGATTATTAAAAAAAATTCAAACTGAATGAAAATAAAAGTATAACCAATCAAAATTTGTGGGATGCAGCAAATGCAACGCTTATGGCCTTGAATAAATATGTGAGAAATGAAGAAGGACCTAAAATCAAAAATCTAAACTTCCACCTTAGGAAATTAGAAAAAAAGAACAAGTTAAATGTAAATCAGGGAATGCAAATGAACACCACAATGAGTTATCACCTCACACCTGTTAGAGTGGTATTATCAAGAAGACTAGAGCTGTAGAGAAAGGGAATCCTTGTGCACTATTGATGGGAATGAAAATTGGTACAGTCATTATGGAAAACATTATGGAGGTTCCCCCAAAAATGAAAAATATCACTGCCATATGATATAGTAATCTCACTTCTGGATATTTATCTAAAGGAAATGAAATCACTGTCTCACAGAGATATCTGCACCCCCATGTTCATTGCAGCATTAGCCAAGACATGGAAACCAGGTGTCCATTGACAGATGAATGGATGAAGAAAGAGTACGTATTAAATGTTCTCACCATAACAATAACAACAAAATGGTAATTATGTGAGGTGAAGGACGTGTTTACTAACCTTACTGTATTAATCATTTCACAATATTTACGTGTATCAAATCATCACATTGTACACCTTAAACTTATACAATGTTATATATCAATAATAATGGAGCTAAGAAAAAACCCACAGCAGCCAAGGAAAACATGAGCAGTTGTCTTTTTCAATTGCACTTTGCCAGGGTCATCAGGATGGATGGACCTTTAAAGCATTTTTGAGCTGTGCTCTTGCTCTGGCATGCTAGAGTGAACACTGCAATGAAACCAAAACCTCCTGAAATTCTTCAGCCTACAACACTGACAAGCATAAAATTATGATAGTCAAAATAAATCCATATTCTGATCCTAAAACTGCAATGACAGGAAAATTGAAGCTGGAGCAAAGAAAATTTTTCAGTGAATAGATTGCTCTGATTCGTAGTTTTAAAGCAAAAGTTACCCTCCTGGAGAAAAAGTTAATCCATAACTTTTTGTTAGTATGTCAGTATATTTTTCTAGTGATGATTGATATTTTAAAAGGCATGAAAGCACTGCAAACTCCTAAAGTCGACTTTAGAGAGCATATTTAAAGTCCTCTATTGTTTTCCTATGGGGTTCTACTAGTGAATAAAACACAAAGATGAGCATGCGTGCGCGTGTGAACACACACACACAGTACAGTTCTCCTAAAGGCGACCTTGTCTTTAAAGTTAAGAACTTGCTTTCTTATGAAAGGCTTTGCATGTTAAATGCAAATGTTTCCTTTAAGTTGTCAAGGTTTATCTTCATGCTCACAGAAGTCTTCTTAAAACAGGTTTTACTTAAGGAAAATATACGGATGTTTAACAGCTCCGTATCATATCTTAAGGATTAAATCTTTCTTAAGAGAACTCAACAGTTTTCCTCCTTTTTTCTATATTCCTTTTCTAAACTCTAGTTTCATTCATTGAACATCCATTTCTTAAGCACCTACATGCCAGCCTCCATGCTCTGGGAACTCACAACCCAGTCAGCAAGTGAGACAAAAGGAGAAGTACAGTGACAACGAGATCAGTGACGGGAGAGTGCAGAAGCAAGTGCTTGGGGTTGGCATAGCTCGTTGAGATTGGTGTGGCCAAAGAAGAATTCAAACAGCAGGGCTCTTTGGAGCTAGGTTACACCGATATTATAGCCTTAAACCAAGGTAAAGTGAAAAAAAATTACAATAAAAGATAGAAATTATTAGGCTTACCAAATCCTTGGAGTGCTCCCCCTAGCATTTGGGCATCCATTATGGGATTGAAATTGGGAGCTGGGAAGATGGTTCCTTGCACCTGGTGGGAAGAGTCAATGAGAAAGAAATGGGCAGTAATTCACAAGAAAGAATTCAACATTTTTTTTTTAAGATAAATGAAAACAAAAGTATATTCTATTTGTGTAAATTACTCTAAGACATACACATGTCTATTAAACAAATGTGTTAATTGTATATTACTTGCAAAGAGCAAATTTGGTTGAGTACTTTTTAATCCATTGGTCTCCGCTTTATTGACATCTATTACTCATCTAGGAAACTGAGGCACTAGAACCAATAGTAGAAAAATGTAATAATTAAATAAATATATATCTTCTTAATAAACAGTAAGCATTTTCTTAGGAATTGGAGACTATTTTATAGAAACTGAAAAGAGAACCATATTGGAGGGATTAATGTCATTCATATGAATTAGAAGTGGCACTTGCCATCACAGCTTTTTTTACACATCAGGGCCCCTAAAATCATATTAGAGAAAATTGAAGTATTTGAATTTGGATTATGGGATTCATAAAAATCTAGGTGACATAGATAGGGCAGAGGATTTTTAGCTGAAGCTTGCTGCTGCAGATGAAAACATAAAAACCTGACTGACATTCCACTTAAATTCTCTCTCTTGCCAGTAATAAAATGGCAGAACATTTAAGTTAGGCTTTGAATTCACAAGATCTGTCATTTCAGGCAGAGCCAGCAAGGACTAGGTACCATATGATCACACTCAGCACAAGAGAACTGTCAATCACAATTTATTAAGAAGGGGACCTCTCTCCCTGTTTGTCATCAACGTGCCCAGAAACATTGGGAAAAAAAACGCCTTCCCATAGCAAGCAAGTCTACCAGATCTTCCGAACTCAGGCATTCGCCGAGCTCTTCTGCTTTAACATCTTAGCTGAAGATGAAGTTTTCTAGTGCCTATGTCTAACAGCAGAAAATTAATTAATTAATGAGAAGAAGACTGGAGCATAATTTACAGTCCAAGAAATATACCAATATCAAAATGTTTATGAAAAGACTTTTGGAGGATTAAGAACATTGTTCACTTGAGTTAAAAATAAGAACTGAATTCAATTTGGGTTCCATTTGACTGATATTAATAACCATGAAGTTGTCTACCTGAGGTAGACTGGAAACCATATAATATTGTGCTGTGGCCATATTTTCATACTTAGAAGTACACCCATGTTAGTGAAATATTCTTAAATGCCTATATGGACAGATATGTGTAATTAAAATAAGAACATAGTCTGCATCTTTCATGGCTAAAGTGCCTGCACTTACAAATTAATGTCCAATTTGCTTCTATCTCAAGTTTATTGGAGGTCTAGAAATGAAGTTCTCTTGAGCCAATCCTCAATTCTGGAAGCTGTTTATTAGGAGACAGCATGAGTTTTATCTCCCTTATTCTCTAACCTGCCCCATTGGGTGAGACTCTATTAGGAAAATAGCCTTTGATTGTGTTTTTATTTATTAAATTAAGTTCAGATAGCAGATTCTAATGTAAATTCCTAGGTTGGGTTCTCCTCACCTCAAGCATTTTCTGGTGAATCTTATAATCCTAGAGGAATTTAAGATTTAAACTTTTGAAAGAACAGCCATGCCTTTAAATGTGAAATTTTTTTATTTTCTGCTATTTGTCACTGCCTTTTACTAAGTCCTTTGTGTCTATGTAGTTTTTTCTTTGAGAAAATTAAAGGTTTTTTGAGGCATGGGAAAATGATACTTTATTTCCCCTGTTTTAAGAGTTAAAAGACTTGTTTGGACAGCTCTCATGTACACAGTACCATTTATTGCCTTGGTGACAATTGTGCTACGTGCTATCAGTCAAAGGGCTATTTTAAAGTATAAAGGAGAAAATGTATTTGAAAACATTAAGAAATACTGTTAAATAGGTGTACATTATCTAGGCAGTTTTACCCATGGAGTGTGCAAATGTCCACCAAAAGACATTTCATTTCTGGCCAGACTAGGATCCCCCGGAATTTCTACTGGAGTAAGTGCTAGAAAATGAAACATATATCTTTTTGAAAAGAAAAATAGCTCTGAAAGTTATAGATAAGGAAAATTAGTAATGAGTGATTTATCAGACACAATCTGTAGCCAAAAGAAAAAAGCCCACAGTCTTTTCTTCATAGCTTTTTTTTTAAATCCTTGCGGAGAGATTACTAGAATGATATATTTTCACAATGTAATGTAAAAGTTACTTTTTTTCTTTACAGTTCTCATCTCTTTTGCCACTTAAAATTATTACCTCCTTGACAATTGGGTTTAAAGTAATACACTAAAAATGTTTTGGAAATAAACTCAACACTAAAAGTAAAAACAAATTGTGAATGCTTAGTAATTCACAAAAATTTTTTTCTAGTAAGCATATGTCATTCATGCCTATTTATATAGCATATTAAATCATTATATTCATTTTTATGCAAATTATTATGCTCCAATTAAGCTCAAGCCAGCAACATTATTCCATGTAAAGCACATATTTTATGTTCCTTTTACTTATTTTGTCATTGGAATACTGACTTTGTCTTTTAATGATCTTATTTTTCCAGCTTTATTGAGACATAATTGATATATATAACATTGTGTATGTTTAAGGTGTACAACGTGATGATTTAATATATGTATATATTGTGAAGTGATTACCACAATAAGGTTAATTAACACATCCATCACCTCACATAGTTGTTTCTTTTTTCTTATGAGGACATTTAAGATCTACATTCTTAGCAACTTTCAAGTATACAATACAGTATTGTTAACTGTAATCACCATGCTGTACATTGTTTCCTTGGGATTTATTCACCTTGTACCTGGAAGTTTGTACCCTTTGACCAACATCTCCCGATTCTCTCTATCCCACCCCCCCATCTCCTGGCAACCACCAATCTTTTAAGGATCATTTTAACTGGATGGACCAGTTCAGTCTATTGAAATAGTCAATTACAGTAGCTCCCATTATCCACGGGGCATACGTCTCAAGACCCCCAGTGGATGCCTAAAAGGACGGATAGTACTGAACTGTATATACACTATGTTTTTTTCTGTACGTACATACCTATGATGAAGTTTAATTTATGAATTAGGCACAGTAATAGATTAACAACAATAATTAATAATAAAATAGAACAATTATAGCAATATGCTGTAATAAAAGTTACCGTAGATCTTAGCAACCTCAACACACAATTTCTTTTTCTTTCCTTAAGTTGAGAACTTTCACCTTTTCACTTAAAGAAAGTACTTTGTGGCTTCTCCTTGCATATCTGTATTGCCAACATCACTACTCTTTTTGGCTGAATGACCTGGCTTTATATGTAATTAGTAAGATAAAACTCTTTTTTACAAATACAGAACATACATGAATTAAGGAGATTGTTTTAATCATTCTATTTGTTATATTTATTGTTTTGTATTAGTACTCTTGTGCTTTGGGGCCACTATTAAGTAAAATAAGAGTTACTTGAACACAAGCACTGTGATACCATGACAGATCCTCTAATAACCGAGACGGCTGCCAAGTGACTAAGGGGCAGGTTGTGTATACCATGCGGGTATACTGAACAAAGGAATGATTCACATCTTGGACTGGGTGCAGCAGGATGGCAGGAGATTTCCTCACGCTACTCAGAACAGAACTGAATTTAAAATGTATGAATTGTTTATTTCTGGAATTTTTCATTTAATATTTTCGGACCATGGTTGACCGAGGGTGACCGGAAACATGTAAAGCAAAACCGCGGATGAGAAGTAACTATTCTATCAGTTTTAACTTTGTCCCCTGAACTAAACAATTATTTGAAAAAATTAATTGGTTGACTAACTGCTTTGGGCCATAAAACTTTTCAAATGACTATAATATACCTATAGGTATATATTCATTTATTTTGAGGTAATTTGACCTTTCCTTAGGATTTTTTTCAAGAATTTGTGCTCAACCACATTCTACACATTCCTTAATACCCAACACCAGTCTCTCTGATGAAGTCAATCTATGCTGAGAGCATTTTTAACTCCCTACCTCTCACTGTGTTTTCATTTATAATTAGCACATATATTTTCCTATTTGCTATCTGTTCTTAAAGTTTGAAATTTGATTGTGTCCTATATAATGTTGTTTTATAATATACTGCTGTACCACAGAGCTGTCTATGGCTTCATTTCTTATCCTTCTAATTATATTTTATGTCTCTTGTCTGCAGAAGGTGTATCAAATCTATACCATGATTTTCCATGTAATGAGACTTCTTTTTAAAATGTTCTCGTTTACTGGTCATGTCACTTAAGTTAAATGATTTCTTTAAAATATCCTTTAATGAGGTTTTTGCTGGAATGAACTGGCTTTGTATATAACTAATATGAAAAAACTTTTTTTACAAGTACAGAACATACATGAATTAAGCAGATTATTTTAATCATTATATTTATCAATTTGTATTAGTAAAAGTGAACAGAGACAAATAAATCATATAGACGAGTAAGAACAAGCCTGGAGAAGAGGATGGAGGGGAGGGAGATGTTTCTAGTTGACAGGGCAAAATTCCCCGCAACCACATATGTGAGCGAGTAAATGATCTTGGAAATGACTTGACAGTTGACTTACGTGAGACGCAAAAGAGAGAAGTGAAGAGCGGAAAAGACGTTACCAAGGCAAATCTAAAGGATTTTAAGCAAGAGAGTGAAATAATCTGATTTGAGATCCATAGTAACACTCTATAGCAATGTAAAGGATGAAAAAAAAGAAGTGATGCAGGTTGCAGGGGTGGCTAATTTGGAAACCCAGTTGAGATATGATGCACACCTGAACTGAGACAAGTAGCATGTTCTTGATAAATACAATTGTTTGGTTAACCAAATGTAATTTAACTTACCAATTTTTGAGATATATTTTAAGTTAACCCAGTAATAGTAGTTTTGCCCTTTTCAAAGAGTCAGAGACTGTTGTTTCAGTCATTTTCCCGGCATATACACCTTTTAAAGCACTGTCCTTTTTTATATATGTGTTCCTAATTTTTTTCA